CAGTGTTAAAAAAAAAAAAAAGTGTTACTAAGTTCCAAGAATTTCTTAGAAATTTGGGGTCACTTGATTTTGAACAGGATCCCTTTAATATTAAAAAAAAAACCCTGAAGGCTGTGCATAATCCCATTTTAAAAAATGTAATTGTATAATTCCACTAAGACAATCATTACTTCTTACAGTTTAGACAAAATGAAAGCAGAAGAGCGTTTCAATCTTTATGCCAAAAATTCAAGCACTGTAAACTCATTCTGAAGTTCTGCATCAGAAAATGAGTTATATAATGTGTGCTTCAAGTGTAACAAGTGTCTTTCTTTGTGACGTACATCATTATGGGTATAAGAAATCCCTCTGTCAAGTACTTTGCAAGGATCTTACTCTAAAAGAGCAAGAACACATTTGTATACAAGTCATAGGACACAGGTGGCAAGCAAATGCTCCATCAATAAATTGGTATCTTCTAACAGAGATCAAGCACTCCTGAAGAGGTCTTTGAATAATCCTAGCAGGTGCAGAGTACCCTCAACTTCACTTAGCAGGATTAGTCCCTTTATTTGTAGGATAATTTTCAATTGGAAATAAGTTGGATTCCCCGCACAAAGGTGAGCAGCTCCTTACATCCACACAAACATACCAAAACCACATTGGAGCTAGAAATAAGTTTACAAGTGAATACATCACTTGCCTTAAAGTGTTTGCCATGTAAACCAGCCCATCTACAGCAGGCATGGGTACTAAAATGTTGCTATTAGATAATTTGCCGATTGCTACCATGGTACACTGTTTTATAGCAATCACTACCTAATAGAGCACACTGACAATATCCTATAATATCTTGACAACTTTTATACTGTGTCCTGCCAATTCAGAAAGACCAATATTAGACAGTTTCAAATCTACAAATCACTGTTGCAGTGTGCTGTGTTAGTGTGAAGTAAGGAGTCCTTATTCCATGAAGCGTTACAATATATACAGCACTACTCAAATCAGGTCACGATGGGCGCCACTATAATGGACTCATCATAATTCTTCCATTGGAAATCAAAACAGCTCCAGGCTAAACAAAAGCATATGTAGTGCATCGATGCGTAAGTTTATCTGATGTAATCCCACACATTCAGTAACACACACAGTAAGTGCCATACATAAATATATCTGTGTAGGTTTTTATACTGCATTTTTCACCATACTCCACCATACATCTTCGCTGTTTAACTTTACTTACCAATTAAGCCATTTAAAACACAAAATGTTTTAAACAGTAAAAAAGGAGCAGTTTAATATGAATAAAATACCTATCAAACAAGATTTGGCAAGAATAGGCAAGCTACAAGCATGGTAGGGGCTTTCTAACCTAAATGAAAAAGAAAACAAATATACACAGGTCTACTGTGTTTACCTCAGTATTTGGCTGTAGTGTTTGCCCATCTTGAGTTGCAGTTGGTACTATTGCCCACGTTATATTGGCACTAGCAGATGATAAAGAGCTGAAAGCACCATTTTTCAGTTCTGTGGAATGTGACTTTGGCCCATGCCATCCCAGGATGTTTTCTGAAACAGAAAACTAGAGTTAAGCCACAAGATTCATGTTCTAGACAGGATTTTAATCTCAATGTCCTAAATTCTATATATGAATTGCTACTTGTAGTTCTAGTCATCTCCCCGCCCACACCCGCATGTACGCGGGCGCACACACGCACACCCCTACCTTTGCCACTGTAACAGAAAGATGCTTATATCCTGCATTTAGCAACACTTTATTTGCAATAAATTGCCTTTTTGAGGTGGATGGCTAACGTTTACCAAGAAAATTACAAAAGCTATTCAAGCCAGGAATCAATATGGGATAATTAATATAGTAAACAGGAAATTCGAGGTATTTTGATTTTTACTTTCAGCAAATACTTATGAAGCTCATTTTGTTTTCTCCTCTTCCCACTAACTGTGATGTTGCAGCTTACATTATACCTAATCATCACAACTACACAAACATTACAGAACTCTGTAGCAAAGGTCCAAATTATATTTCATGCTCCAATTATCAAATATGTTTCAGTTAAGGTCACACATTATACATGAAAATAATGTGCAATTTAGTACAACTTTCCTAATAAAAATTTAAAAAAAAAAAATAAAATAAAAACTGTCAATAGTTGTCCATGCCAATATTATTTAAAAATCTTAGAATGGCCCTGAAATAAATATTCCTGAATCTGATATAGGTAGATTTTCTCCTCATACTAGAAATATGAGTCAGTATCACAATAAGGAGAATGCTTGATTACTCATCTTCTGAATCAAGTCCCAACCCAAAGACGAGTTCAGACAACATCCATGACCTTTTTTCCCACTCCACCAGTCTGAAGCTGCTATTTTAGCCCACTACATGTCTTTTTGTTTCCCCTCTGTACTGTTAGATGTCTTTCTACATTGGTTAGGAAACCACTTTAGCACCTCTATCAAGACACGGGTTAGAATGCTGTTCACACTAGAAAGAGGTCAACTAAAGATGAGCCTGAACCATAAGCCCCCATCAGCACATTCCTGCCGCCGGGGATATTTGAACTCTCTGGCTTGGGCGAACCTTTAGGAATAACAGTAGCGAAAGCCTAGAGGACAATCTTTGTACCAGTCTACTCTCCAGTTTGTGGGATGGGTTACGTTGCTATCACCCACCTCTCCATCCCAAAAAATACATCAGCACTAAAAAAAGCTCACTAGCCCTCAATCACTGCATTTAGTTTTAGTTATTAGAATTACCAGTAACAGCAGAAAATATCTAGATACAGACCACAAAATGACTAATTGCATGAGGGGCATGTGGAGATGGAAAGGGGTTAGTACAGGAGTGGGGTGATTACAAGCTCTTTGAGACCGACTTTTTTGTGCGTGTTTGTGCGCTCTAAACACTACCATAATACAAGCAATAAAATAAACAACAGATTATGATTATTGTTCAATGAGGTAACTTCTATGCTACTGTTAAT